GTGTTTCAAACTTTTTAAAACCTCTGCTGTTTTCGCCCGCGGTCTCGGCAGGCCAGGTACCCTGATCTTGTCCAGTACCGCGTCTCCTGACCTCGAACTCATAACCTACTACCCAGCATCGAGTTTAGCCCTCTTTTAAACCGCAGCGTTAAAACAGCAATTAACAAACTTGGATGTTCGGAAATTGGTTTTTTGTTTCTTCCGCTGTTCTTACCTGAAGCGTGGCGAATCTTTTAAGCATTCTTCAAAATCCAGTTTCACCGTCATGCTTAGTGGCCGGTTTCTTTCCAAAACTTTGATTGCAAAGAAGAAGGAGAAAAAAAACCAATACTAAGATTTAAAAGAAGAAGAGAGAGATTCCGCGCGTGGACTGCTGTTCCGGTGAGGAGACGGGTAGTTTTCCACGCGATTATTCGTCCCCTCTGCGACTCCGTCGGAAAATAAATCGGTTATCGCATTTGCGTTTCAGTACAGATTGCAGAGTAATGCAGCGTAATCGCAGAGCAACACGAGTACCCTGCCGGGCAAGGTTTTAAACGTACTGCACACGGAGAAATATTTATATTCCAAACTTCGCGGGCGGATTTGATTCCGAAACCAACTGAGAGCAAGGCGAATTAAATAAAAGAATAAATTCGGACGTGTTCGTTCATGTCCGCGGGGGTTGGATCTCCCGGGGTCCTGTCCTGCGGCTGTCTCTCGTGTCGCTGTCACGGCTCCCCACTCGGAACACGGCTGAAGAAGCCCGCGTCCCCGCAGCAGGGGGATAAGGAGGGCGTGCTTTCCTCAAAACACGGATGTACGGAGATGTGAAGTTCAGGATACGAGGCGGTTATAATGCTGTTTGTGTACAGGAGCAGAGAAAGCCTTGGCGAAGCAGGGCTGTCAAAAAAAAAAAGAAAAGAAATGAACTGCCGTTCCTTCCTCTCCTCTCGTCCGGCGCCCCGCTCTCCTCTCAAACTGGCAGCCGGTTTCCGGGTGTGTGCGTCTGTTGTGATGTTGCTGGGTGTGCGGTGAAGTGACGGGTTTCGCAGTTGCAAATTAAAAAAAAAAGAGAGAGAAGGCAGACAGACAGAAGAAAGAGAGAGGCGGGTGACGGATTGGGAGAGGTGGCATCTCTCTTCGCTCAGGCGAGCTGCTTTTTTTTTTAAAAAAAGAGAAAAACTCCGCCCCGGAATTTTGATTGCAAGAGCCCGGGCGACCGCAGGGCGAGTTGCACAGCGCGCGGCTGCCTGAAAGCACTAATAACCATTTATCCTATAATGACGACGAGGAGGCGTCCGGCCGAGGGCAGAGACCAGCCACTCGAGTTTAGCGTGTGCGGGCAGTTTTGTCCCTCCAGGCCGCGTGAATGGCTTTACTCGCGTGAGCCCACGCACAGGTTCGTGAACGTGGAAAAGACACTTTTCCCATGCCCAGTGAGGGGTGCCGCAGTCTTTCTACTGTTTGTGATGTTACGTATTCCCTCTGGCGTTGCCATGGTTTGAAAGGAAATGACAAGCGGTTTTGGCGGCGCGGGGGCCCTGGGTTCAATCCCTCGGGTGCTGTCTGTGTGGAGTTTGTCTGTCTGTCTCCCTCTGTTCGTGTGGGTTTTCCTCCCACAGTCCAGAGACCTACCAGCATGGTAGGTGAACTGGCTTCTGGGAAAACTGGCCCTGGTGTGAGTGTGTGTCCCTGTGTGCGTCCTGTGACGGACTGGCGTCCCATCCAGGGTGTACCCTGCCTTGTGCCCGTTGCTTGCTGGGATAGACCCAGGCACCACCGTGACCCTGAACTGGATGGAGTGGTTAGAAAATGGGTGGATGAAAAAGTCGTACAAGGGGTGTGTAGCGCACGCACAGACCACAGAGCTGCAGCAGGCAGTGCGATCTCTGGCCACTGACCTCCATGTGAACGGATGCTTTGTGCTTCACCCCTACACAAGATGTGACGCTTAAGGTGAAAACTAAGAGATGCTTTAACTCAAAGTGATTGGATATGCACAAGCGTCGGCTATCCAGGAAACACAGGTCAAACCAGAGATGAGCCTGGCGCTTCTAGGCTTGACGTCTCCCATCTCGATGGCCGTTGTGATGGAAGATGTACAGGCCCGTCCACTCCTTGAGTGATGTGGTTGTCCTGCTCTGCCTGGAACATCAGTCCCGGTCAATGTGACGACGAGAGAATCGGCCTAGAGGGAGACCTCTTGTCGGGAACGTGCAGAATCGACCCAGGGGACAGCTCTCTGGGCCCCCTCTGTCAGGGATCCTGCAGGTGGTTTTCCCGGGGATCCTGTGCGAAGCCGTGAATTCTGCGGGACGCAGAGGCAAACAGTACAAAATCGGAATCCAGAAGCAAGGTGGGAGATGGGAGAAGCTGGAGATCAGTTAACCGGAAAGAGCGGAGACAATCAGAGAAGACGAACCGAAAGGCGAAATCCAGGAGACGAGATCGAAAGGGAAAAGTTGTGTCCGAAAACCGGAAAATCCAACAAGACAAAAAACGTGCACTAGAAAACTCTGAAGGAGGCTTTTCAATAGTGAGCAAGGTTTGGTGCGTGAGGGAACCTTAAATAGTGAAGGGAGAGGGACGTGGTTGGAGAATTGGTCCAGGAGTGAGAGTCTGTGGAATCTGGTGCCTGTGAGAATGTGCTGGGTTCAGTTAGGAATGAGATTGTGAAACAGTTGCGTTTGGGAATGTACAGTAATAGCGTTAGCGAGGGCGAGAGCAGGGCGTGACACCCTCCCACCCAGCTGCAGCTGATCAAGAGCTCCGGGCTCCTCCAGGACCCCTTTGACCCCTGGCATGCTGGGAGCTGTCGGAAAGCATGCGGACCAAAGGGCTCACCCAGCACCAGGGCTGTGCTGTGCCAGGAAAGAACATGAACACAGCCGCGATGATGAAGGTGGTGACCATGACACACACCTGAGGTGCACCTCCATTCTGTGTGTGGAACTCCCAATAACGGCCGGCCAACATCTCAAAAGTGAAGTGAAAACTCCGACGAATTGTGCCTGACGGTATTTGCAGACTGCACTCTTATTTGTTTCCTTCCCCAGATTAAACATCTTTTCCAAAAATTCCCACGTTCGGGAAGGGAGAGGTCAGCGGTTTCGCGTGTACGTCTTGCGTGGCAGCGCGGCGATAAATTAGGCGTGGTGACGTCACGGGTGAACCGCTCGACGTCAGCGGGGGTGTTGCGCAATCCCAGACGGCGAGGTTCGCCGCGTGCGCCGAGCATCTGGATTGTAGAAGTGCGAACCCGCGCGGGCCGCACTATAGTACATCACTTCCAAAACGCCCCGGGCTCCCCCTAGGGGTTTCACAGCGTCACGGCTGGGTGCCTCGCTGGAGACGCAACTGCTCTCACCCAGCCGTGGGTCTGAGGCTCACGGAGCCTGTGGCTGGAATCCCCCGTGGACGGCCGGCAGTGGGAGTCGGAGCGGTTTCTCAGCTGGGCGGGCAGGGGTCGGCTGGGGATTTCTGGAGCTGGGACTTCTCCGTGTGGCGTCGCGGGGATTTTCAGCTGCGGAGAGAGCGAAGGTCCGGCTGGAGTCGTCAACAAGAGATCACCGGGAAAAGTTTTTGTTGTTGTTGTTGTTGTTGTTGTTGTTGTTCTATGAAGTGGGGTCAGGTTTCGAAGCCTCCCCCTCGGTTTCTGAGGAATGGTGTAAGGGACTTTTTTCGGGAGTCCCGATGGAAAGACCCCTGTGAAATAAAGTAATACGAAACGAGACGACTTTTGAAAGTCATACCAACAGAAGCGGGCTGGGGGCCACAGGGGGGCATTCGGACCGTCTGGCCCCTTAGTTAGTAATTCATGAATCGGAGGATTTCATCCCCGTCCTTTCTTCAAGGAAGCCGGTGTGGTTTGTTCCACACTCCCCCCACTCTTGGTGTAAAGAAGCGCCTCCTGCAGCCCTAAATCCACGTTAGTTTCTGAAGTTCTGTGAACCAGACGCAATGCCATGCAGGATTTGAAAAAATAATAATGATATTAATATGTGATATACTGTACGATGTAGCCCCTCAGGGTCATATATATATATAAAGAATTTCTAGAGTGATTTTCAAGTTGGATGGCATTCAGATTTCTCCGTGAGGGAACTACAGGACTGTGTGAAAAGCGACTTTCACGGAGTGTTCCTGTGTGAAATCTTCGCCTACCGTCTGTTCTCGCGTCTTTGAAATCAGAGCGAAGCTGAATTCTTCTCCGTGGACGTAATTCCCGTGAGACGGGTTACACTGAGCTCGTGGGGGAACGAACAGCAATAATGAGCCCATATCGCCTTAATGAAATAACTAATCGTCGTTAAACAGAACACGGAATGAGGCAAACGGAAAGGATTTTTTTTTTTAGGTTTCTGCTTTTGTCATTCCCGTGATCTTTTCCAGTTGCGACGGCACATCGTTTTAATCGCTTCTTCCTGAAACGCAGCGCGACGGATCCCACGGGGGCAGCCTCGGCGAGCCGAGGAAAGGGAGAGGGGCGAAAATAAAAACCGAAAACAACGCGCAAAACAAACAGGACGAGAAGGCGTATGAGTGTGTGTGTGTGTGCGAGTGAGTGAGCGACGGGGAGAGAGAGAGAGAGGGAGGGGGGGAGAGAGAGATTGATGTCTGGCTGCTGCTCGGACGCGAGTGCCGAGCTTCAGATAGAGGAGGAAATTCAAGACGGATCCACCGCCGTCTTGAGCCCGCAGGTTCAAAGCCAGACGCCCCGACAGGTTTAAGACACCGCGTCTCCCCGCCGCCCCCTCCTCCTGCTCCCTCCGCCGCCGCTGCGCTCGGCTGTCGATCCCCGGACACGGGCGAGCTGGTCGCGGCTGCGGGGCTCCGACCTCTGCGCGGCCACACGGCAGGGCAAGACGGCGGCCGGCGGCGGCGCGGGAAGCCTCTGGACCATGGCCGGCAGGAAGCACCGGGACCAGCAGGAGATCTGCTCGGGGCGGGTGAGGGAGCTGGCCCGGTCCAGGGGGAACAAGCAGTGCTTCGAGTGCGACCAGCCCGGAGTCACCTACGTCGACATCACCGTGGGCAGCTTCGTGTGCACGTCGTGCTCCGGAATGCTGTGAGTAGACCAGGGGAGGAAGGATGCAGAGCTGCTGTTGCCGCTGGTCTTATTTTTTTTTATTATTACAGTTACCATGGCTGTTTTTACAGTCTGCGTGCTGTCGGCAAGCGTTTACAGCTGACAGAGGGCTGCACATAACTGCGTATGCGAGGCTGTGGTGTCGACGCGGCTCCTCCGTCGCCAGCTCGGAGCGCCTCACAGCCGCTGTCACAGGGAGCCGGAGGCGAGATGAATCATCTGCCCGGCTGTACCTCTGGCGGTGGCTTGACGAGCCTCACGACAGATAGGAGCCCCGGCAGGGCCGTGTAGCGCAGGGGGAGAGTTCACGCCGCGCGTTTTTCCCACTCGAGTTTCGTGTGTGGAACTCTTATCCACTCCAGACCCCGCCGCTTCCCCCCCCCCCCCCCCCCCCCCCCCCTTACAAAATTAGGACATCCTCACAACAGGTCGCCGTGAAGGGACCGCTCGCTCTAACGAACTGTTGTGGTACTGGGCGATTTTTTTTAAACAATTTTCTAAATCTTTTTTTTCTCTCGTTGACGTACTTCCTTTATTATTGGGGTACTGTAACTAATTGCCATGACCGCCCCCGCCGTCTATGGTTTATCCGAGGGGACGGGGGTCCTGTGACCCCCAGACACGTCTTCATCAGTTAGTTTCCGAGTGGAGCGGGGTCCTGATCTCTGGGGACCTCCGCTGACACCTCCGGTTACCCCGAAGCCGTATTACAGCAGGCCTGACCGTCGCCCCCGCCGCAACCTTACTAAAGGCGCCGGAAGGGACCACATTTCCCCGGGCTCCTTTTCCCAAACTTCGGGGGCACCTGTGGCCCAGCGGCAGCCGCAGCGTTTGCAACGCGGGGCAGAAACAGGAGGACGGCGAGGCCGGGAACTTTTTAAAAGCCATTTGGCCCCAGGTCAGCTCGCCGCAGGCCGTGCTTTCAGCTGTCGTCGCGTTTCCCTGTTGCGACGGCGGGTGGAATTTGTCCCGAGAGGCCCGCCAGAGAGCCTCGGGCGTGTGTTTTAACCGTGTAATCTGGCGGTTTATGTAACGATCTGGCACCGCAGTCGGAACGTCTTGGCTGTGTCCGCGCAAGAGCAGATGACGCTGCAGCGTGTGTTGGTTTGTTTGTTTTCTTGTTTTGTGTGTGTGTGTGTTTGGCAGCGCTGTTCAGCCCTAATCGGTTCATGTGCTTCTCATTCTAAACCCGCTCTGGCCCAGACCTGTTACTCCGTCTCTTATCTTAAAGTGGCACCAAACATGACCTCCGCTTGGTGCCTCTTTGCAAACGAGCCCCTGTCGACTCGACAGCTCATGCGTGGGCTCTCCATCGTTTCGGACACTTCTCTCTTGGGACAGTTCTTTCCTGCTTAATGAATCTTCGACCCCCCCCCACCTCTTCCCTTCTCTGGTTACTTTAAACTCCTTAACCCTCAGAGACACATCCAGCAATTTCCCGAAGAACCTCAGCGAATCTGCTCAAGACGAGAGCTGGGCAGCCCTTTGCAGACCGCCAACACGTGCAAGACAGTGAGCCCTTTTCCAGATCTGAACACTCCACCTGCCTAATGCAGGGCCGCGGGGGAACGGGAGCCTGTCCCGGCAGGCAATGGGCACAAGGCAGGGCACACCCTGGGCGGGACGCCAGTCCATCACAGGGCAGACACACACGCCGGC